GTTTAGTGATGCTATACAGAAAACATTGATGTGTCTGAAAAGGAAGAATAAAATTAATACCACAAACGAATAATCGGGTGAATCATACCCTTAGTTATGTGATATAATAATGATACATATCATCATATAAACATATAAATTTACATGAAAATACATGCCATTTTTACAGGCACGATCAAGTACGAAATAATGTCCAATCGTAGATTGTCTACAAGTTAATTATGTTTCAACAGTTAAATATATGATGTTATATATATGTATAAATACACTCCTTGTCTGAACCAGGCCGTATAGTTATTGAATTGTACAGTTGTCCTCCAGCTTGCGAGGGAAAATTGATTTCGTTTCGTTTTCATCCCGTGGTTGTAGGCATACGATAACCGTCAGCAACGTCTCGTAAACCGTTAATGCCCAGCTCTTGCTACGCTCGGGCTCACGCTGTTACTTGAAGTTTCTCAGAAACGCTTAGTAATAACGGACGCAAAAACCAAAACACCGATTGGCCACTCGAGAATTCTTTATTGTAACACCAACATATAAAAAATGTTTCCACTAAGGTTTCTGACGGTTTACTGCTGACTTCTTTCTGAACAGCGACCGATGAGACGATGACTGTCGTATTGATGCCTCCGCGAAAGTTGGGGAAGTTGGTTTTGAGCAAACAACCGTGAATTGATCGTTCAATCTTCGAACGCATTGAGAACGTTTTTGAGCAGATAATAATGACCTCCTTAGGAGTATTTGACAGGTTCTTCAAGAAATATTGACACATATTATTGCATTTCGTTTTTAACCATGCATTCATTGAGCATCGTACATCCACGTTGGGTGAAATCGAAGAGATTCTAGCCAGCTCGAAAGAAAGTGTACGCCAAATGGCACAAAAGGAACTAGACGATGAAATGAAACAGATGGAAGAGGCGTTGGTGTTGAATAACTAACTTATAAAACTCATTAGGAAGATTGCATACGGTCAAAAGCAAAATAAAAATAATGGGGTAACTAATAATGATAGCATACAAAAGACAATGTAAGATATCCACAGTAGTTTTACTCTCTAAGTCAGGGACATCTGAGACCCTCCTCGCGTAGGATTCTCAACAAAGCAGAGATTAGATTGCCACTTAAACCTACAAACTCACTTAGGCAGCACAAGCTCTCCAAGTTAAACGACCCTGTCGGTTGACCCAGTCAGACAAAACAACATAATTAACAAAATTCCTTGCGGTGACTGTGAGTTAGGTCAACTACACAAGTCGAACTAGTTGGTCGTGGGTAGTCAGATCGTTTGTCAGAAGATGAGAATTTAGCTAAGGTTGAAATGGTTTACCCCACTCGTGAAGATGAGTAATTTAGAAACAAGCTCAGTGATTCTTCTGAATGCATACATTAACAATCATGTGCAACCACACAATAGCATGGTGGGAGAGGGTTAAAATTCTAATAAGTAATATAGTTAGATGGAGAACGAGAGAGGGTGATTACTGAATCCTGGTTCATCGGATCTACATCCAACACATGCAGCAGAAATGACTCAATGGAAATACCAGATATATGGAAGATATTATTGCCAGTCAAAACAGAGGAGGATAATAAATAATCTTAAAATTCTATTTAAATTCACGTACATCATAACATTCTAGGCAGTTACTTATTTTGGGTATAAAAAGTCTAATTTGCCGTCTGATTGTATCTGATTAATAACACTGTTATTATTTCTGAACGTACATTATCTTGTATTGATTTTTGTTCGAATGTTTAATCAATTTCATTCATGTACATAAATGAAGTAAACAGTTGTGTGAGTGACTTGATATGATTATGAGTGGCAATAGTTTATACCATCAGTTAATATTACTGTACAGCAACACTGTGTGATTTATCAAAATAAAATCTTATCTATAATGGAATTATACTCTACCACAGTGCCCAAGTTTTAAACTTATATTAGTAAGATCGGATGTAGCTTTTACAGCCCGTCAATACTGCTGGAAAGAGTGTGAAAAGCAGTGTATTCAGCAATATAAATAGCTGCAGTCATACAGTTTTCGGAACAGTGATGACTGTGACTACCACTGTGACAGGTCCATATTCCAGGGACTGCTAATTGATATGGCCAGTAATTTTCCATCTGGTTACATGCCTTAAGTCTGCCTGGGTGTTTTTGGATGCCATTCGGATATATGGCTGCGCTGACCAAAGGCTGCGGGATGCACAGAGCTGCATTCCTAAGTACTTGCAAAGGAAACGTCGAAGTTTAGTGTTTCTGAATTTTCGGAAGGTAACTGAATACCGGATGTTTATCTTGTATTTTGGCCCATCCGTATTACATGGCATTCTACCTGGGCATGGTTGTTTCAGCCTTCCCATATGAGTCACATTCGTGGCTAATCAAGAGAAGGGCAAGAAGTGGCTTCAGGGTGGCAAAACAATTAGCTTTTCGGGAAAGTCGAGAGATACTTGTTTGTCAGCCCTGCGAATGCAGGTAAGCCCCCTGCTCAGGTAACCCCCCCGTGCGTTACAGTTGATATAACAGAGCAGTCTTTCTATGTCGGTAAGACTTATTATTCAAATGTATCACCTGGCAAATTCATAGTAGTTAGCAGTGCAGCTGGGATTATCTGTTCTGTGGGCGAGGGTATTGTATATAAATTCAGACTTTCTATGGATAAGGAGGGACTTTTACTGGGTCTTTTGATTCAGCGAAGCTTGATAAAAACAAATCAGGCAAGTTCTCAGGTGATACTAAATGGGTTGCAACAAATACAATTATGTATAAATGCATCACAATGCTCACAAATCGCCTCGACGTTTTCATCCCAGTGCCTCACATAGGCCAAATAAGCTTTCATTGTTGATCAATGTTATTCCATCTACGTGTTGCAGTTTGTGGGAGTCGTAGGTAAAAGCCGACAACGTCGACAAAGTTGGTTTGGTCTATTAGTGTCCCAATTTGATTTGGCACTCACAAACTCCCTTTAGGTGGACTACTTTCAAGGCGATTCGTTTTAAATTCAATATTGCACCATCCTTTTAATACTGAACAGGAAAATAGAGCATCGTACTTGTTGAGGGACACAGTGAGGCCATCATACACCGGAGCTCCTCGTTTCTTGGACCAGAGGTTGTCATGTGCAGCTAAAAGACTTATGGAACTGGGGATGAAGAAGAATATCCATGAGTACACTAGAAGATGCAGCAATCGGAGGTCATTTATGAAACAGGTTAGCAGTTATTTAACTCAACTATTTATACAGATGACCTGAGGGGAGTACTTGCAAGTCGCAATGCATTGCAAATAACCCACAGTCCCACCAATCGCAGTCAGTTCTCAAAATCAGCTGCAATATGCACACAGAGGCGATGATGAACTTAAGAATAATTTAGCACTCGATCCATCGCTTAGTGCACCGAAAAACGACATTTTCGTTGATGACAACCACCTGTCTGACCTGATGGATGAGCAGTACAGTGTCTTCGACGACTCCTATTATGCCGACCTGAATAATAGTATATCGGCTTTGAAGAGGAATACGGGGTATGGTAGTTGTAAGACCTATCATAACTGTGAAGTGGTTCTGGCCTCTTTTCGAAGAGGAGTTTGCATTTATGACAATCTTAATAGCTATTCTTTCTCAGATCATCCAAGGATACTGGCACACTGCAGAAAATATTGAGCACCATGAAAGAAATAAAAGGCAAAGCTCTCTCTCATAGTTTCGTTTATCCTACAATTATTAAACAGCTTATATAGACACAATCTGTGAAGTGCAAACGAAGGTATTTCAGCGCCTGGACTTCATGTATGTAATTGCCAATGAAAACAGAACTGGTGATTACGAATACGACGTCAATCTACCGGTGAAACTATTGGCTATGTCGCAGATTTTTGATCGCAAACCTAAACACAGGAAGTATTTTGAACGAGTGGTAAGGAGTTTCAACCAAATTTTCTCAATAACTTAGTTCTAGATGTGCCAACTCTCACTCAAGGTGCGAAATGAAGCAGCAACATTCACGCGTCGTTTATCGAGTCCAGTCTTTGATATGAGCTTAGCAAAAGCGATGACTCACAAGGGTACTACAGACAGGATCGATGGCTGTGGCTACACATCTCTCCAGTTTATAGTTGTTATGCTGACTCTTATAAAACAGGACATCCTATATTAATCACAAATTCCTATGTCATCACTTGTAAGCAGTTAGAACTTGCGTCCAAAGGGGAGGAAGCACTCAAAGTGATAGTCAAAGCCACCAAAAACTGGAGCTATGGTCAAAGACTCCAAAAAATTTGATCACTGCCAGAAGAGGTAGTTTTTAAGGAACAAGTGCCCCCTTTTTATGTGCTTTATGGTTATTTCCATGTATTCAACTATTTTCTTCTCTCCTTCACTACAGATGTGGGTCAGTGTCTCTAAACCTGGTCCCAGCCAATCACTGTCCCCAGAATGATTTATGAAATCATGTTATAAAATTTCTCACCATGTTACCATTTTCAGGAAGCATATATTTCACTGTATAAAATATTAAATGCCCTGTCTGCATTCGCCTTATTTTTGTGAAATACGGAGTTGTGGAGTTATTAGATTCTAAAGACGGCAGTCATCAAGCTCGTAGCCGTAGTAAAATCAATTCTGATAATAGCTGTAGAAGGCGGCAATGTGTGAGCATTCCCTTTGCGAACTGAGTAGAAACAGGGGAGACACTGAAAAGTAGGTCGTTTAAAACGTGAGTCCTTTTTCATTAGAAGGGTGAGTGAAATGGGAAAAATTGGGTTATTTATTTGTTGAAAAGGTGGGTTAAGTGGGAAAAAGTAGGGAATTGTCTTTCTGAACATGTGATAAGTGGGTTAAAACATGTGTAGTGTGCCAATTTGGGCAAAGTGGTTGAATTATGTAGCATTTTACCGCTTTCGTCAACCAACATTACCCGCTTGGCCCACATAGGCTCCACTGATCTCAGTGCTCCATTTGATCAATATTTAATGTTATAACATTGCAATGATGTGAGCACTAGCGTACACTGTCGCCCGGCCGCAGTTCAAAGATTTAGGTCCTTGTGAGCAGTACGTGGGACTTTACTAGAATCACCATATACATATATGTATTCACCACCTAATATACATCTCAGCCCTTGTTTTAGTGAGGGCTAACGTATTTTTAGAACGGCTCAAGGAAAGGATAAGCCTACGATTCCTGGTATGAAAGGCTTCACGGGCTGATCGTTTTATCCTTATCATACACTAGGTGGGGAGACCTCATCATGATGTTTAAAAATCGGAGGAATGACTATGAACCTGATAAATATTCTCTTTTCCTCCCATAAGTTTCAATTATATCAGGGGATACAGCAGGGGAATTCAAAAGGTAGGCAGGAACCATATCTCTGTGGATTACTAGTTCTCCCACCAAGCCATAAACACTTGAAACGGATTATCAGAAGATATGCCCATCCAATCGGCTCGTCCCATAGGAGATTGGGCAAGCACAGTTACCTGTCAGAAAAGGGTTGAGGGAGGTCTGAAGTCTTCTATCCTCAAATAAAATACATAATATGAAGATTGCAGTTTTAGAGAGGTTGACGGAATTATATTACACAACCTCTAAATTATTCTCGCGTACCGAAAACAAAGCAAAAGCCAATAATTGATCGTCCAAAGTTCGTGATATATTTCGGGACCAAAACAAGCCGTCAGACGAACGCTTAGCTAGCTAGTGATCGTGCACGTGACACGACAGGGTACCAAAAATGGCGGGGATGCTTGACCGGAAGCCTTCAGCTAAACAAGTCGACTTAAACAGTGGTGGTCAGCATCCAATGAGTGATTGCTGTGTTCAATAATTTTGGGGAATTATTTACTGCTACACAGTGATAGGAATTAAGGGAGGCTGATTCCACATTAAGGAATTTAGGTACCCAGTAGCCAATAAAGACATTAAAATATTGTTCAAAAATTTTGGAATGTGAAGTTATTAAAGTGCTTACCTTCACATCCTTAGGATTTCAAAAACACTTTGCTCTTCATTTGAAGGTTACTTTGAAGCAAAGAATACGCGGGTTAGTTTAAATAGCAAGCGTCCTTGGGGAAGTTGGCGTAAACCTCAGTGCCTACAGTTGACCGGGTTTGGTCTGTCAGTTGGCTGCTCTGAAATATATTTGAAACTCAAATCTGTAGCAACATTTATTCCAGAATCTGGTAAGGCCAAACTATCGTTAATTATTGTTATTCCCTTGCGTACCGAGTGGGACATAGGGTTTCAACAGCGCCACTTTATTCTGTTTTCTGCCGTTCTCTTTAGCTGGGTCCACGATTGACCAAACTCTCTCATCTCCTTCTCACACCATCTCTATGCCACCCTAGGATGACCTAATCGTCGCTTCCCATTATGATCCCACTCGAGCAATGGCCTGGCATACGGTGTCATTCGGCGGCCTCCTCAATGTATACCCGATCTATCTCCACTTTCTCCTACATATTTGATGAGCGATCGGCTCTCCTGTTGGTTTTTTCCTCATTGTTTCTTGTTGTTTATTCTTTCTGGCCATTTGATCTTCAGTATGGAGCGAAGACAGTTGTTGATGAAAGCCTGCAACCTGTTGGATATCTTTTCCATTGCACGCAGTACAAGTTTCTGACCCGTATGGAAGGACTGACTTGGAATTAGTGTTGATAACCCGAATTTTGTCCTGTATGTTGTGTGTGAAAGATTTCCAAACTGGTTTCATGTTGATGAATGCGTATCTTACCTTTTTTTGATTCTGGTTGGTTTTGACATCTTCGTCCGTTCCGCCTGTGGTTGAAACTATGCTTCGCAGATAAGTAAAGGAGGCAACCTCTGTTGAATCTCTCCAGTTGATGATGGTTGGTGCTGGTTGTTTTTGCTGTTGATTGGTTATCTTCATCACCTCTGTCTTCTCTGTATTCATCTGCAGTCCTGTTCGCACTGTCTCCTCAGCCAGTACCCTGTTTTTGCTCTCAAGTCTTCAAGTTTGTGTCACATGAGCCATATATCATCTGGGAAATCCAGATATTCGGTCATCCAGCGTATTCCCGACTCCTCGCCCCTAACATTGTGACGCGTAATCCATTCCACCAAGTTAAGAATATTGTCGGTGATAATAGGCAGACTGCCTTGTCGTACTCCGGCATGCACTTTGAACGCCTCGCTGAGTTTTCCGTTGTGGATCACCGGACATGTGCCACTGTCATATAGCTTTTGAATGAGGTTGATAAAGACCTGAGGTACACCGTAGTGTTGAAGTGGTTTCTAAATTACTTCACTGTCAACGCTGTCTATTGAATGCCTTTTTGAAGTTGAGGCAGAGAGAGGTTTGACTGCTATACTACACCTTATCCGATGATGATGCGTAGAGTCGCAACTTGATCAGCACATGATTTGCCTTTCCTGAATCCAGCTTGTTCCAGTGGGTGGCGGAGTTCTGTATCCAGTGCATCCTTTGTTCCCTCCAGGATGATGCTACTTAGTATCTTACTTGATGTGAACAAGAGCATTGTTCCACACCAGTTCTTGCGCAGACATAAGTCGTCCTTTGGCAGTTTGACGAGGTAACCCTTCTTCCAATCAGTAGGCACCTTTCCTTCTTTCCAAAATGTTTGCAGTAATGGAGTGATAACATCTGCAGTAGTCTCAGGGGTCGTCTTCAATGCTTTAGGGAGGGTGCCGTCTGGTTTTGCTCCCTTCTCGGTTTGCCTTCGGTAGCTTGATCGCACTCAAGATTTCTTCCTTCGTCGGAGGAGTAGTGTCAACTGGCATTTCCGTGTGTGCTGTCGGTGGTATTTCTGGGCGAGTTGCCGGTGGTGGTCGATTCAAGAGTCCTTTAAGGCGACCAGCCTATTGTTTTATTTGTTTCTCCCCCTTGGTGATCAGGTTCCTTTGGGCAGCTTTTATTGGTTTCATCATCTAGGTTGATCTCTTTCCGGACAGAGACTTGGTCATCTGATAGTGTCCTGATGTCTCTTTCGCCCGCGGCCTGTTCTGCTTCACTTGCCAATGTGTCGTAAAATGTTCCTTTGTCTTTTCTACCCTTCTTCACTTCTTTATTCAGTGCAGGGTATATTGAACTTAGCACCTCCTTCTCCTGCCCATCTTTGCATTGAGCCATCTTCCTCTCCCCTCTTCTATTAGCTGTCAAGTGTCCATTGAGAGCCATTCCTTGTCTCGCCTGTTCTGTATTCCAACATCAGTTGTACACGTTTCCCTAAACATCATATTCAAAGAGTTAGTTCCAATGTTCTTCCACGCAGGTTTCCTCAGTGATGCCACACCACATAGTGTTCGCGACTTTACTGTGATCTGTAGTGAAGCTAGGTATCCCTTGTAGTTTTGTCCTTCAGTTTTCGAATGTTGAACTTAAATTGCAGTTGTGTGTCTCCATTTGTTTTCATGGATTCCAGCCTCATCTTGAAGGTTCCTTGAACTAGATGATGGTGTAGGGCCATATCTCCCCTTCTCGACTTTGTATCCAGCAGGCTGCGTCTCAACTTCCGTGAGATTGATATAAAATCTATTTGGTTTGTGGTATATCCGTCAGACGAAGTCCATGTTGCTTTGTGTATATCCTTGTGTTTGTACACGCTTCTTCCGGTCATCAAATCGTTGAAAGAGCAGAAGTCCGCGAATAATTCTCCGTTCTCATTCATTTGTCCGAGCGAGAGCCTCTCGACTTATGATGAGTTTTCTTCGTGTATTATCTGCTCCCAATTTGACTTAAATTTATATCGACCATAAAGACTTTGATGTCACCATTTCGGATGTTCGTAGTTGTCGGTAATAACCTTCCTTCCTTTGTTCCGAGTTGTTTGTAGCATTGGATAATTGTGACGTTCCTGCTTTTTTAGTTGAATCTTGCTGTCATGATCCTGCAGGAGGAGATCGGTTCCCACGGAATTGGTGCTTTTGGCTGCTACTGATGATATCATGATGGCCACTCACTGCCTCAGTGTGCTCGTGGTCACCGTCTGAGTGATCAGACCTGAATAGATTACTGACTCTCCGGTTGACAATTTTGACAATCCGCATCCATTCCATCTGCTTTCTCAGATACTCAGCACTTCTGTGCCGTATCTTCGCGTTTCTTTGGCTACCTAATCAGCCTTTCCAGTCTCGTACATTGCACGGACATTGCACGTACCCTTTCTTACTCTTGCTCTCATTGAGAGAAGATATATCAGCTGACTGGCTTCCTGAAGGCTTTCACCTGTGTGTGTCGTTTCACCTCCCCGATTCGAGCGAAGAATAAGATTTTTATTTGTAGTTTTTGTATTTTTAATATATTTTCTGTGTGTTGAAGTTTGTCTAGTGGTTTGAAAAATTTGATGGTCTGGGGGTTGGGTAAAAGGCAACAGAAAATACCTATCTTTAACCATAGTCGTCATTTTTCAAAGGACAAAATACCCTGTTTCCCTTCAATTTAACAATTTTGGACAGAATTTTATCCACGTACTTACGGATTTTACTCGTGTTCACGAAAAAACCCCGATTAGGCAGGATTTTAACCTTGCGCACAGAATTCGATTCCCACACGAGGATATCAATACTTTCCTGGATTATTACAGACTTTTGTATTGACTGTTCCAAGTTAATTTCCCACCCCATCCGGTGTGACCTGTTCAGTTCAGTGAATGATTGAGTTATGCTCTATATTAACAGTTACATGTAACAGATTAACTACCATCTTGGTGTGTACATATTAAGTCTATGAGTACAGTTTTTATCTTGAGGAATTCAGCAAGGGATCTCACAACTGAAGTTATGCCTTTAGTAGTCAATCTGCTGAGAATATCAGTGAAAAGAAATTATCATTATATCCTTTAATTTCTAGAGGAACATAAGGCTTCAGCTGCGCGTCTCCATTGCCTTCTGTTTTCTGCCAACTTTTTCACTCCGCTCCAAGTCTGCCCACATGCTTTCATCTCCTCCTCCAAGTCACCCTCGCACTGACGACCAACTCGCCGCTTCCCTTTCGGGTTCCACTCGAGCAATTGCTTGTCTAGTGATGTCACTTGATGGTTTCCTCAGTGTATGGCCAATCCATCACCATTTCTTCCTGCCTATTTGTTTCACAATCGGTTCCTCGTTGGTTCGCTCACTGCCAGAGATCCGTGTTTCTGATCTTTTCTGGCCAGCCATCTGATCTTGAGTATTGAGCGAAGACAACTGTTAATGCAGGTCTGTAGTTTGTTTAAGATGCCCTTTATGACGCGCTGGCCAAGTCTCTGATCCGTATAGTGAGTAGCACTGACTGACCTCACATTGGAGTTGAAAATCCGGATGTTATTTTTGATGGTGAGTGCTGTTGACCTCCACAGAGACTTAAGGGTAATGAAAGCCTGTCTTGCTTTTCCGATTCTGGCTTTGATATCCTCGTCAGTTCCGATGGCCTGTAGTTGAAACGATGCTTCCCAGTTGGGTAGGTAGGTAAAGGAGGTTGTTTCCTTCAGGTTCCTCCCATTTATGGTGGCTGATTGTCGTCTGTTGTTGTTGCTGTTGTCCAGGAATCTTCATCACCTCTATTTTATCTATGTCCACTTGAAGTCCTATCTTTGATGCTTCTTCTTCCACCTTGTTGCTTCCACTTGCATATCTTCCAGTTTGTGGGAAATCAGACATATATCATCATCGGCGAAGTCCAGATCCTCCAAGATTTTTGTGTGAGTCCATTTTATGCCTGTTTCCTCATTGGCCGTTGTCTGTCGCATTATCCAGTCTGCTGCAGTCAAGAAGATCATTGGCGATAGTAGACAGTCTTGCCTCACTCCCGTCCTCACATCGAAGGATTCCGTGAGTTTCCCGTTGTGGATTACTTGGCATGCAGCATTGTCGTATAATTGTTGGATGAGAAATGACTATCATTGAGTTAATACAATCCTTATTCGTAAAATTTCCTGTGGGCCCTCACACACACATACACACTGCTTTTATGACAATCCCTTTTTAAGCTTGTGGATGTATTCATATGCGACTTGTCGAATTTGCTGTAATACTGCAGAATTAGTCTATACTGCCTTTTAAGATGGAACGTGCTGAGGGCAGATTTTTTTCCACCTAACTTTCTTAGAGATTCTCGCAGACTAAAAGAATTGGTATTATAAAATATTATAAAGTTTGTCTGGAATCTGTTAACTTCCTATTCGTGATATCTTTAAGATATCTGATTGCCTAAGAGCATACGTAATGTGTAATCTGGTCATAGTTTTTTATTTTTTTATTTTTATGGATCAAACGTCTTTATAAAAGCATTAATCTCTGCTTGCTAACTTTTATATCTTCTGTTACTTAACTAGTATTTTTCTCGTTTTCTTACACCATTTTAGATCTTGGAATTTCAGGTAGTGTTGTCAGTTAGTGTTTCCGCTCTCCATGATTGATAGTCTTTCACATATTGGTGATACATTCGCCCGGTTGCCGTTCTTGTTTTTTATTGAATTAGTTACAACAAAACGTGTTTCTTTCATTTATGATTATTGGAAGTTTTATTCCAGTGAGTTAGTATCAGTCTGTCCATCATTGTTTTGTCCAGATGGATCGTTTGTCAGCTTCAGTATTGCAATTGGTAAGAAATTGTTTTTTATTTATTTTTTCTCGTTTTAAACGATTTGATTCTCTCATCACAAAACAAAATCAGTTGATTTGAAGATAACATCTTGTAAATTTGCAATTGAAACTCACTGAAACACATTTGCCACTTTACGCCGTCTCTGGCGTAGACGAGATATCCGGCTGGCTATCGACCAAAGGGCGAGTGTACTGTTCATCAGTCCGCTTCGTCCTCCTTTATGGCTGTGAGCAAGACCTGGCCACTGAGAGTGGAAGACGTGAAAAGATTAGCTGTCTTCGATCATACGTGCCTGCGTTCTATCTCCCGTGTGAAGTGTCATAATAAGGTGAGCAATATTGAGGTTAGGCTTTGGTCGAGTGCTAGGTAGGTGGGAGGGGGAATCAATCGACGAGGCTGTGAAATTACATCGACTGAGATGGTTAGGACATGTGTTACGCATGGTAGCCTAGTCATCGCCTTCCTCGACGAGCAATGTTAGCGGATATATGGTCAGGCTGGAAAAGAGCTGGCGGAGGTCAAACCAAAACATAGCTTCATCAGTCAATGAAATCTACAACAGTTAGTTTAAGCCAGTCACGTAGGAAGGTGTAGACTTCCTGACTGGTTAGGGTCCTCGGGACGGTAAAAACCAATGGTTGGAAACAATTGATGACATGGCTCAAAATCGTTCTCAATGGCTGGCTCAAATGCATCCACTCCTTGTGACTTGTGATTTCCAATGAAACTATATTGTTCTTGGTTATTACTATTCCTTTGTCTCACACCTCTGCTTACTGTCTCTATTATGCATTTCTTCTACTTTCTTCTCTTGCTTTGTATGGTACATGGAGGGAGTGTGGCGACTTGAACTGCCGCATATTGATGGAAAGTTCTTTGTCAAAAACAGACAGACAGACAGGTGGTCGGGTTTGAATACCGCATTGACCCAACAAGCTAAACTGGTTGGGACTCATGTCCCTGTAGGTCTTGCCATGTCGGGAAGGTTGTTTGTATAGTGGTTGGACTAAAAGCAGTTATCATGTGGTACATGGGCTCCAGTTTCCAGTCGGATCAGATGGAGTATGAACCCATATGGGTTACCTGAAAGCATGGGAATACAGCTCCTGACGCTGCTCCGCTGCCTTGGGGATTAGACTCCAAGTCAAAGGCTCGGGGGGCGGTCCCTTAAGAAAACCGCCTGCTTCGGTCTGGGCGCCCGGGCAGTATCTCAGCCCTCACACAAGAAATGAAGTAAAGCAACAAACTATTACTGAAACTCATCTCTCGCTGGTAAAAATGATTTCAAGCAATAGTGATTCTCCAAACAACTTCTGTCCTTCCAACCTTTTATTTTATTTTTATACTTGGATTCTTGTATTTTACCCTTGCTAACCTTGACTTCTTAACCTTCGACAGCCTTTCGCCTTTGTCTGGATTCCCAGCCTATCTGTGTCGTTTCGAGATGTTAGTGAGTAACCCTCAAAATTTTTGTCCCGAATGTGACATCTAACACAGATATCTTGAAGCTGTGTGCCGCGTTCAAGCTGGTCACCTACAATGTTCGGACGCTGATGCAAATCGGACAACAGGCATGGTTGGTAAGAACTTTTGAAAGCCTCGCTATCGATGTCTGCTGCATTTCGGAGACCCTCATTCAAGATCCCAGTGAAGTGCTTCGACTATCCTCTCCATCTGGATGTTCTAGTAGTATGTACCACCTGCGCCTGTTTGGGGACCCTGTGGCGTCGGCACCCGGCGTAGCCGGTGTCACACTGAGTGCTAGAGCCGAAGCTGCATTGCTCAACTGGATTCCCATTAACAGTAGTTTATGTGTTGTGAAGCTGGAAGGTTATACGAAAGTAAGAAGTAGTAGGCCAGATAGGCGGTATCTATTTGTTGTCTGTGCCTATGCACCGGCGGATCGCAGTCTGGATGCAATGAAGGGTGAGCTCTGTCACCAACTTATCGATCTCTTGAAACAGGCGTATCGATGGTATATCGTAGTGCTGGCTGGGTACTTGAATGCACAGGTCGGGCGTCTAAGCTCAGGGGAGAATCGTCTAGGTGGTCAATGGGGCCTACATGGTCTCAGGTCAGATAATGGGGACCGACTTCTGCAGCTTTGCACGGATCACGACCTATTTCTAGCCAGCACCAACTTCCGGCACAGCCATCACCGCAGCGCTACCTGGCGTCCTGGCTCTGCGAATCAAGCTTGGACTCAGATTGATCATATTGCTGTCAGTTTCCGTTTGCGGAGATGCATACAAGACTGTCGCTCCTTCTGGAGTACATGCCTGGACTCCGATCATGCGTTAGTGTGTGCCAAGCTCGTCTTGCGATTTGGTGGGGTTCATAAAAGCCGTCGTCTAAACGTTGATGTGAGCAAACTAGTAGCACCTGCTACTTCTTTGAAATACCAGAATGAGTTATAATCAATGCTTGCCAGCGACCCCCCAAGCAGTATAGATGAACATTGGCTTCATCTTCAAGGTGCCATGCAAAGGACGGGTGTAGCCGCTTGTGGCTTGAAGGAATGCTCCGCTAAAAACCACTGGGTTTCTGCGAGTTTCTTGCAACTCCTGGATGAACGCCGGTCCATTCCGGCTGGCTGCGAACGTAATGACTTAGGAATCGACTTGTCACCAGGGAATAGTCTTATGAACTTAGAATATGCAGATGACATAGTCCTGTTAGGGGAGGATGCTGACAAAATGCAGAGTCTTCTCAACACCTTGAGCAGCAATCTTCCTATGTTCTGCAGCATGTGATTCGCCCCTGTAAAATGTAAGATGCTGCTACAGGACTGGACTACGTTAACTCCTAGCTTAGTGATAGGGAGTGAGGTGATAGAACATGTTGACCACTTCACCCATTTGGGAAGTTGTATTAGCACCAACGGACTGATTGGCGATGAAATCTCATCACGGATCCGAAAAGCTCGAGCTGCTCTCGCTGACTTACACCATCTCTGGCGTAGGCGTGACATCCGGTTATCAACCAAGGGACGTGTGTACTGCTCATCAGTTCGCTCCGTCCTTGTCTATGGCTCTGAAACATGGCCAATACGAGTTGAAGACATGAAAAGGTTGACTGCTTTCGATCATAGATGTCTGCGATCTCTGTCCCACGTTAGGTGGTTTCACAAGATAAGTAATGTTGACGTTAGGCGTAGAGTGTTGGGCAAAGAGGGAAAATCAATCGACGAGGCTATAAAGTCACATAGATTGAGATGGCTAGGTCACGTGGTGCGCATGCCTAACCATTGCCTCCCCCGACGGGCATTGCTAGCTGATATAGGTGAAGGTTGGAAAAGAGTAAGTGGTGGCCAAACAAAAACATGGCCTCATCAATCCATGAAATCCTTGACAGTTGAACTGAGTCAGTCAGGTAGGGAGATGCAGACTCCCGGGTTGGGGGCCTCGGGACTGACTCTAGGAATCAATGGCTGGAGACAATAGGTGACATGGCTCAAAATCGTTGTTAATGGCCAGCGCAGATGTATTCAGTCTCTGTAATCTTTCATATTCCTTTCTACCATTACCCATTCTGTTTCACTCTTATACTTGTCAAACTCTATTGATTCTCTTCACTCACTTTCTTGTCTACCTCTTTGTGCTATTTGGAACGTGGCAACTCGAACTGGTGCACTTCGGTGCCAAGTTCTATGTTGAATTCAGACAGGCTGCGAATACAACAATAAGCGAAAGGCGCTTGCGCGCAAGATTAGGCAGTGTTTACGTAAGGACCGCGAAGCGTGTTGGTCAGAACGTGCATGTGAGATGGAGTCAGCTACTGTATCTGGCAACAGTCAGAAGCTGTTCCAACTCATCCGAGCCACCGGCAGCAAGAAACAAGGCGTCAGTGGGACGGTCTGTGAGGCAGATGGCACGCCAATTACCAGCTTGAAATGACGCTTGGAACGCTGGGCAGAGCACTTCGGGAAACAGTTTAGCTTGCAACCAGCTTCAGTGTCTACTGTCATTAGCTCCAGTGCTCCTTGGTCGGTTAGTACCGAACCACCCACCGAAGCGGAGGTCCGTAGGGAACTTCATGTGTTGAAACCCCCTAAGGCTCCCGGCCCAGACAATCTACCCCAGGCTCTTTTTAAAGATGTTGGCGAGACTCTCACAATGGCTCTCACTGGGTTGTTCAGGAAGGTATGGGAGAGTGTACCATCAATATGTAACGAAGCCATTATCGTCCCCATCTTTAAAAAGGGTCGACGTAATTCGCGTGACAATCATAAGGGTGTCAGTCTGCTACCAGTCGCGTCTAAAATATTGGCTGCTGTCTTGCTTCTCAGCCTGTGCGAAACACGTGAGGGATTGATTCGCGAAGAGCAGGTTGGGTTTCGTTCAGGTGCATTGATCATGTGTTCACCTTTCGTCAGTTGTTGGAACACCGCCACACGTATTGCAGGCCAACGACCGTTGTTTCTTGATATTAGGGCTGCCTTCAATTCGTTGGACAGAACTGTGCTCTGAAACTGTCTGTTCGAGAGAGGTGTACCTGAGAAATTTGCTAGCATCTTGAAAGCCCTATACAGAAACACCTCGGGTAGAGTGAGGGCATACAACCGACTATCATTACTGTTCCCAACCAACAGTCGGGTTAGACAGGGTTGCCCAATCTCTCCATTTCTCCTTAACTGTGCCATCGATGACATTCTTGAGTCAGCTCTGAAGGATTTGCGTGAAGGTGGTGTAGATCTGCTACCTGGAGATAGACTTTTCGACCTTGAGTATGCAGACGATATCGTCTTACTGTGCGATAGCATGCAGGCTGCCCAAATCGCACTTAATCAGTTGGCGATCAGTGTCTGTAAGTATGGTATGTGCTTAGCGCCGTTTAAGTGCAAAGTACTGTTACAAGATTGGCAGGAGCCTGTACCTGCACTTACTATTGCGGGTGAACCGCTTGAAGTTGTTGATGTGTATCTGGGTAGTTGTGTGAGTGCTGGCGGAAGGGTAACGGATGAGATTTCCAACCGTATAATGAAGGCTAGGGTGGCTTACATCAACTTGAACCCCCTCTGGCGCCGTCGCGACGTTAGCCTGGCGGTCAAAGGTCGGGTATACAATGCTTCGGTGAGGGCTGTCTTGCTCTACGCCTGTGAAACCTGGCCTCTCCGGGTGTGCTGAGGATGTTTGGCGACTCTGCGTGTTCAATCACCGTTGTCTCCACAGGATTGCTTGCGTTCGATGGCATCATCGCGTGAATAATTTTGAGAATCGGCGGCGTGTATTTGAACACAGTGGAGGTCACCATTCATTGAGTGTCGTCATCTGGAAACACCGGCTCCGGTGGCTTAAATATGTGCTCCGAATGTCATCTCAGAGGCTTCCGTACAGGTCTCTGTTCGCTAGCCAGCCCTGGGACGAGATGGAAAAAGCGAAGAAGTTGGTCAGCCCATGACGTGGCATTTTGGGATGATGTATATTTGTATTAGGTTAGCATTGGTTGGTATGTCACAACTCCCTGGTTGGAGTTCGAGAGGTAGCTCGAATCGATGAATCAAAACGTTATCGGTTATAGCCAAGAATCGTAATCAATGGCGAACGTGTTTCAATTTCCTTCTTTCTTCCGTTCCCGATGATAGTTAACGAATACTGTTTGAACTTGTTAAGCATGGATGTTTTCCTTCCAGATGAAGTTCTTTATCCGTTTTCTACTTATATTTTATTTCTTTTTCTTTTTGATGTATGCTGTTTTATTATTATTGTGTGGCGCATCCTTCTTGGTGCCATATTGTACCAAGTTTTTTCTGCGTTTAAATAAATAATAATAACTTGCGCGTGTTTGACATGCATGTTCTCATTAATGATATTATTATTATTATCACTATCACTACTATCAGTATTTATTTTTACATTTCCCTACATACTTTCTGACTAATTTATCAGGGTAATTATTAAGTCTCAAGGCTTCTCTTATATGTCTCACTTCCTGTCTTAGATTTTCCTGGCTACTACTTAGTTTTTGTGCTCTGTCACTTAAACATTTCAACAATCCAATTTTTACTGACATATGAATGGTTCAGCACCTGTCCACTCAGATATCTGGAAAATTCTACTACCCCTACGACGACAAATGGGAGAGGACAAAGAAAATTGTAAAACGAAAGTTTCGAAGTCTCGTGTGTTTATAATTGATGGCATGATTATGAACAATAAATTGTGTTCTAAATTGTGTCATCCAGTAAATAATACTGTTTCACCGACTGTGTGATACATCTAATAAACAAACAAACGAATATGGAATTGACTAAGAGTCACTTTTTAAATTACTACTACTGTAATGGAAGAAGTTAAAAGACTTAACAACGGACCTTTACTAAGAAGAAAAAAACACTTCATATTTATGCATTCTTAGCTGTAGTAAAGTTCAGGCTAGTTCAGAAAACAATAAATTGTGTTGATTGGTTGGCAATTGACCCATGGTTAAACAAGTTCTACACCAAAGAGAGGGTTATTCCCTGTCCACAACGTAAACTCTCTTCTGTGCAACCATTGACTTCAAATGTTGATTTGAATTTTCAACCGCTTCCTGTCAATCTGTGCCTCACTCTTCACACTACCTACTATTCAAGAGAATAGATAGGTCCTATTTTTTTCCCTCTTATTCCTCTAATTGATAAAGTTATGTTAAATGTTAATTCCATTTCAGGTTTCCTTTTTTTTTTCTTTTCAGCTTTCGTCCTGTGTATATTCGCATCAGTCATCTATGTGAAAGGCATATTAACTGTTGGATTTGTGTTAACACAACTCTTACTTCTATTTACTATGTTTTCCAATTACATGCTCTTGTTGAACAGCATTCTCTCGCCGACATTATCGTCTTCGTTGTCATTCAGTCTAGCCTCCCTAATGCAACGGCATTATATATTGGGTTGTCTACTAGTTATGAGTTCAGTTTTGTTTATATCAATATGTTCAATGTTCAAACGTATACCAGTGCATAAATTCAGTGCAGTTATTATCCTGTACCTATTTGTTCTATGCATTTTCTCTATTCCTATTCTTATCAACCCACTGTCGTCAACAATTCATCAGAATAATGAAAACTGTCTATTGTCGGCAACAAGCTCATTTAAATCACTTACTATACATACTCCGAACAGTGCTAAAATATCTCCAGCATGGTTATATTATGTGTATAGTATGCTCAAATCAAATTGTTGTGCAAAATCAGTATATTCTTCTAGCATAGATTGTAATTCACGTTCTATTTGTCTCCGACAATCAAGTGTCTATCCTTTGTCATCGACATCATCATCGTTATTATCGTCGTCGTCGTTAACAGACAGGGATACTGTTCATCAATTGTTCACTATCGTTTCAGAGTATACATGTCAACATAAAACATTATTGATAGTTTATTCTTTCATATTATTATGCATATATATCATTCTATTAGTCTACTGTTTATATATTACAGAAGTTTACAAATCGTTGAAAACATCAATTAGTCAAGAGATAGAATTGTGTAGACTTGGCGTTGTAGACTATCTAGCATTTCATTGGGGTCGTTTAAATATTGCCCAGATTCTAATCTATTTTTGGTCATTTAAAATAATGTCTGTAGTTATTTTAGGCCCACTTTACTGGGCTGTTATACCAGCAGTTAGTTATAGTGGTAATTTTGTTAATTTTTCAGCTAGACCAATTAACTCTTCCACTCTGATGGATTATTCTAATCCAGATACTGGTGATTATTCAACATTTTCTGTCCTAATTACACGATTGTATGTTGGTGTTTTTGTGCATGGTTCAGAGACATGGTTATCTGTATTCGGTGCAGCTGCATTTTTCAGTGCCCTGGGAACTATTTTTGTTTCATTGTTAGTCTTCTTACTAGATCCATCAGGTGATCGTACGGCACAGTTGGCAGTAGCAGCTGCAGATGCTCCAGCAGATCCAAACGGTTGGAATGTGATTGAAGATCCCGCGTTGGCTTTAGATCAAAATGATGTGATTGCGTTTGATTTGTTAGCTAGCAATGGATGGCATTGTGCTGCTGTATTCTTGTTTTTCGCCTTTCAATCAGATATGCCCAATCTTCAGCCAGTTCATCGAGCATCGTGTTGTATGTACGGCATTGTAGTGATCTTGATCACTTGTATTCATCCTGTTCAAGCATTGGTTAAATCATTTCTACTACGTCTTGGTATACCAGGACAACAGACAAATTGGTCAGAGCATATACGACCATTGTGTTTTTGGATTGTTCTGATATTTGCTGCTATCAATATTTTCACGAATTTACCTAAAATACTGGTATATGAAAGGATTGAGTTTAACAACAGTATAAATAATAATAATAGTAATGTCAATACACCCTTGATAACTATTTCATCACGTCTTGGTTCATCAGAGGAAGCAATCCGTGCCCGACAATTGCGGATATACTTGATTGGTTGTCAATTATTGCTTAGTTTAACAGTTACCTTGATTGAATATTCCGTTTATCAATATTATCGTCGATGTCCTGATTGGCGAGGTTTTCGACCAATGTTATTCTGGACAAAATTGATCAGTTCTGTATTAGACTACCTATTCTCTTTACTCTCCTTCTTATCGATATGTTGGTTATTGTTCTACGATTCCATCGGGATATGTCGTCTATTCATTATCTGTTGTTATCTTTTCTTTGTGCTTTATCCATCAGCGCATAAAGCTTATTCATGGATACGTTGGAAATTATTATTTAAAAATAATTTAAATAATTTAAGTCATCCAACTAGTGAAGATCTTCAAACATTCGGGGATATCTGTCCAATATGTTATACTGAAATGACAGTGACAACAGCTAAGATTACGCGTTGTGGCCATCTGTATCATATAAATTGTCTTATTGAATGGATGAAACGTCAATTTTTCTGTCCAATGTGTCATGCAGATTTATTATCGAGTAAAGTGACAGACAGACGTAATTTCAGCGATCGTCGAAATGAGGAATAAGGACAACAGGATCAAAAATTGCATATATATATATATATATATATGTATGTATTGTAGCATTATCATTGATAAATATCATTACTAACAACACTAATACCATTATCATTATATCATTGCCACTATTCCACTAAAATGTGTATACATTTCAGATATCACGAAGATCATTGCCTTTCAATATTTATTGTAAATGATGACACTATTGTTCTTCTCAAATGTCTCCTTTCTCATCATTCTCTATCTGTATAAAAGTGTTAGTGATTGAGTGAGTATGTCACTTCCAAGTCCCGTTTTTCTGTACTACTTACACACACACACACACGCAGAGATGTGAAATCATGTTATCTCTTTAGATTTTATTTTCAGTTCTGCTATTGTTTTTGTTGTTGTTGCTGCATATTTTTGTTCTAGTGTATAAGACTGAGAAAAAAAAGAAAAGCGGACTTGAGATATGACTACTATCCTGTTTCTTGTTACTCCGTTTATTTCCCGTTCTAGATTCATGTAATTATTATTATTATTATTGCTAAAAGATGATGTATCAGTGTTGTTTGAGTTACTTTGGTTATTAAATGAATTTATTATTATTATTCAAGTGTTGGTTTGTAGGGATTTGATTGATTGGTTACAGGATTTCATCATGAGTTGACATTAGTTAGAGAACCATTAGAAAACCAGCTGGGAGTACTGGACAGCCTAGTTTGGGACTCTTGAGCAGTACACACCCACACTGCGGAGTTCAAACCCAGGGCCTTCTGGTTACAAGGCTAGCGAGCTCGTATACCAGTAAGCCACTGGGAGTCGATCCAATGGCCCAATAAATTCTAACTTCTGCCAGTTCACGACATAGCGCGACCCTTAGCCAATGTCATCCTTGGCGAGTATTTGTCCTTACACCCGACCTGCTACACCCTACTGGTCACGACTTCTCTCGTACTACTACTAGTACTACTACTATTGAATATTTCGCCTTGGAAAACAAAGGGAGTGGGTGGGGGGTGTATTCATCTTCGTCATTCGACAGATTCTGGAAAATAGGTGGCATACTTACAGCCGGCGGCTTCCAACAAATAATGGCATATTTCTTGACCCATCTGAAGGTGGTATTGGATTTCATCAACTGAGAGGTATTATGGCAATGTGTCTGTATGTGAAGGGATTGCTGAAAAAGTTATACATCGTACTGATCAAGGCACTTATTCTACCTGAATTCATGCAGCTAGGTATAAGATTCTATGGGGGGTTACCATCTGAAGTAATGATGTCGGTAAGGGATGCCAACTGTCCCGGCGTTGTTTCATTACATCATAATTAATCCTAACTGACTTCAGTGACTCACGGATTGATTTGTTGTTAGGGGACAATCTCGTTGACTTAGAATATGCAGATGATATATTCCTCCCTCCTAAGTGAAGACGCTGATGAAATGCAGACACCTTGAGGAACAGGAATCTTCGAATGTTTGGCATGAAATCCACTCCTGTCAAATGTAAGATGATGCTACATGACCGGACTAGACTACGTCGACTCCTGGCTTGAAGTGGTTAGCCGTGTTGACCACCAATTAACTCATTTGGGAAATTGCATCAGCCCAAACGGGCTGGTCGCTGACGAAATCATATCGCGGTTACAGAAGGCTCGTTTGGCATATGCCTAATTGCGCCATCTCTGGCTTAGTAGGCGTGACACCCAGCTGCCTATCGATCAAACGATATATGTAACGTGCAGAAGTTCCCTCTGTTCTGCTTTATGACTGTCAGTGAGACATGACCATTGAAAATGGAAAACATGAAAAGGCCGATTAGGTGTTAGAGTTTTATCTCCCATGTTAGATGGTAGGTACAGTAAGGTGAGCAATAATGAGGTTAGGCTTCGGTCGAGTGTTAGGAAAGGAGGGGAAATCAATCTATGAGGCTGTGAAGTTACATCATTTGAGATGGTTATGTATGCCCAGCCATTAATGGCCTCCCTCGACGAGCAATGCTAGCTGACATGGGATGGATCAGGTTAGAAAGGAGTTAGCTAGTGATGGTCAAACGCAAAAATGGAATAGGTCGATGAAATTCATAACAGTTAGCTTAAGCCAGCCAGCTACCTAGATAGATGTAGACTTGCTGACTGATTGAGTTCCTCAGGATGGTAAAACCCATGCAGGCCGAAAATCGTCGTTCTCAATAGCTGGTGCAGATGCTTTCTCTCTTTGTGATTTCTCATATCCAATAAAACTCTACTGTTCCCCCATGTTACTATTCTTCCTCACAATTCTGTTTGCTTATCTCTCTTTTTATTCTCTTGTCGTACTTTGTGTCCATAAAGATATCTGCTACGATAGGGGATATTGGTGATCATCCACTCGATTGCTACCTACACCTTCTGTTTGTCTATGTATATATTTGTCCTGGAATTTAAAGACAGTAGATGTGAGACAGCATAAGTGAATTCCTGAAATAATTTCCTCAATGGGAAGCTTCGTCCTATAAGTGAGTTCAGGATCTGAAGTTAGTTAGTTAGTTCCCTTTTAACCGCTTCTGAGGCTCTCATATTGATTGGTATATTAGTGTAAAGACTCGTTATAATATCAAAACTAACGATTGTCTCATCATTCTCTAGTTGAATGTCGTTCAGTTTTTTATTTCCATCTCGTTAGTTGGTCTAGAGTTTGAATGATTGCTTATGGGACATGCATCGTATTAGAGCTAAGTGTTTTGATAATTCATAAGTAGGGGTATCCCTGAAATCTACTATTGGTGGTATGAGGTAACCTGGCTTGTGTATTTTAATAGTACCATGACTTCTATTGGCATTAGTATTCTTAGGCATTATTAAATTAAACCATTCAGACTCACTCAGTGACGGCTTCGCTCTTAAGTATTAAATCCTCTGTAGACTTCTTAATCTTATTCATTACTGCATCTACAGGCCTGTTAATTTCCTCATATGCACGGACCCTTTCTTGATATTGTTAGATTTGTCTAGAACTACTGTAGAGTTTCGTTTATCAGTTTTTGTGATGATGAGGATGTTTTTATCATTTTTAAGATTGATTAGAGCCAATCTTTCCGATTTGGTTACCTTTGACCGTGATTTCTTTAGTTTCATGCGAGTTAATTCACATTGAAATTGTTATGAGACTCTATTTGAGGAACTAATTCAAATGTTTTGGTCAGGATGGCAGTTTGAGTGTTCCATCAGTATGCACTCAGATGGTCACCATAATATCTGTCTTCAAAAATAACCTACGAAATGAAGGTGATAGTTGCTAGAGCATCAATCTGTTACCAGCGTAGAGTCAGATATATTGACTTTTATGGAATTCGGCCTGCTTTGTCAAGCACTTTAGCGTTGGTTCGCAAAGAACAGACAGCTTGAAACTGTTTGTTAGGGAGTGAACACTTCTTTTTAGTGAAGAGTTAATTAACATCACCAAACTTTCACACTTCATGGCGGTATAATTTAATCTCATCTTTTCGGCTTAACTCCTACACAGATGACATTCTGGAGGGAAATCTAAACGATTTCTGTGTGGTGACGGTGTGGGTGTGCTATCCAGAGAAAAACTCACCGATCTGGAGTTTTAAGACGGGATAAAACACAGGTAATCTGAATTACACTTAACCACTTGGGGATTGGTGTCTGTAATTATACAATATCTTTACTCCCTCCATCACAATATTCATTGTCAAGGGCTCGTCTCTGCCTGCACTCTCTCTTGCGACTAATACATTAGAGGTCGTCAAGAAGTTCGTGTGTAGTTGGGGAAGACAAGAGAGTTGGTAGTGGAATGTTCATCTGCAATTCGATATACGCATATGTGGAAATATATATACTAATGGACTTAACCCTAAGTGACTTCAGCGACTCACGGATTGACTTGCTACCAGGCAATAATCTCGTTGACTTGGAATATACAGACGATATAGTCCTCCCTCCTAGGCGAGGACGCTGAAAAAATGCAGAGTCTTCTAAGCACCTTGAGCTGCAATCTACGAATGTTTGGCATGCGATTCTCTCCCGCCAAATGCAAGATGATGTTACAGGACTGGACTACACCGACTCCTAGATTAGAAATAGGGAGTGAAGTAGTGGAGCACGTTGACCGCTTCACTTATTTGGGAAGTACCATCAACTAACGCCAACGGGTTGATCTCTGACGAAATCTCAGCACGAATACAAGGGGCTCGTTTCGCATTTGCCAGTTTACTCCGTCTCTGGCGTAGACGAGATATCCGGCTGGCTATCGACCAAAGGGCGAGTGTACTGTTCATCAGTCCGCTTCGTCCTCCTTTATGGCCAGCTGTGAGACCTGGCCACTGAGAGTGGAAGACGTGAAAAGATTAGCTGTCTTCGATCATACGTGCCTGCGTTCTATCTCCCGTGTGAAGTGTCATAATAAGGTGAGCAATATTGAGGTTAGGCGTCGAGTGCTAGGTAGGGAGGGGGAATCAATCGACGAGGCTGTGAAATTACATCGACTGAGATGGTTAGGACATGTTGTTACGCATGCCTAGTCATCGCCTTCCTCGACGAGCAATGTTAGCGGATATATGGTCAGGCTGGAAAAGAGCTGGCGGAGGTCAAACAAAAACATGGAACCAGTCAATGAAATCTACAACGGTTAGTCAAAGCCACGTAGGAAGGTGTAGACTTCCTGACTGGTTAGGGTCCTCGGGATGGTAAAAACCAATGGTTGGAAACAATTGATGACATGGCTCAAAATCGTTCTCAATGGCCGGCTCAGACGCATCCACTCCTTGTGACTTATGAATTCCAATGAAACTATATTGTTCTTGGTTATTACTACTCCTTTGTCTCACACCTCTGCTTACTGTCTCTATTATGCATTTCTTCTACTTTCTTCTCTTGCTTTGTATGGTACATGGAGGGAGTGTGGCGACTTGAACTGACGCATATTGATGGAAAGTTCTATATCGAAAACAGAGAGACAGATTTGTGGAAATTATGTACACCACATATTAGAATCGTCATTTGCACAGATCTTACGTGTTGTGCTACTTCTGCCCTTCGTATTGTCTGCGTCTCTTTATCTTTTTTCACGTGCCTTCCATGATTCACCTAGATGTTGGTTCATCTCATCTCTGTGAAGTGAAAGCTGTCTCTTCGCAATTTGATATATTCACAGCAACATGCTCTTGTCTGTATACTACTTAAATATCATGTTAGTAGCTAGCACACACCACTCCTATATCTAAGCAGCAATGGAAGTAATAGTGAAGGTATGAGTGGTGAAATTTCTGCAGGTATACTTGAAACCAGAATAGCATACACTGATTTGAGTATGACATGACGTTAGTCTAGCTGTCAAAGGTTGAAAGTACAATGCTTTCATGCTCACGGTCTTGTCTTATGAGATGACGTCAACATGTAACCAATTCTGAGTTCCCACGGTGTGTTTTCACACAATGGCTATTGTCTTCGTGTAAATGACATTATTCTGAGATGCTGGCTTCGGTATATTGGGTATGTATATACTGGAGATATCATCCCAGAGACTTCGATAACACTTACTATTTGCTAACCCTGAGACTGGTTCATAAATTGCACCTTATCCGGGATTGCTAAACGTAGCTCA